GTCATCTTTCCAGTGGGAGAGACAATATTCCTCTCCTTCTTGGATTTCTGAAACAGTATCGAAGGAGTAAATGTACAAGAGAGGAAAAGTGTATTATGTGCTTAATAACTTTGCTATCGGGGAGTGGGTAAAACAAACTAAAACCAATTTTCCAAGACCTAGAAATTTTATTCATGTTTACATCAGGACCTGGATATGTTGTGTGGGTAAACAGTCATGTGGAATTTATATTTTTGATATAAACAAATTACAGCAGATGTGAATGAAGTCTCTCGTAGACTGTAGTTATGCCTAGGTGGGTTCAGTTAGTTTCCATCTAAATGAGTGTGTCATTTGGGATCAGCAGTAATGGGGAGACTTCTTAAAGAACCTGCTTCTAAACTCACTCCAGTTGTGCCTTGTGTTTGTAGGATGGAGAGCCCCAAGTCCTGACCAGCTTGTCCACCTGTAGGGCCAGCACGCTTCTTCTCACCCATCTCTAACTTTCCCTGGTATCTTTCATGTGCCTTTGAAAGGCACATAAGGTTACATGAGCCCCACTAGATAATCTCCATCTCTAACCTTGAGCGTAACCATAGACTGTCTTTACAGTAGAGCAGTGTCTCTACTCTAACTCAGTAGCCAGGGGATGGGAATCTTGTGGCGGGGGAGTTCATTATTAGAATTCTTCCTGCCACAGAACCAGATTAGTATCTTCTAAAATGTTCCAGTACAAAGAACTCAAACACATGTTTCATGTTGAAGCCTGATGTAGTGTACTGAGGTTAAAGGATATGTAGTTAGGGTCTTCTTAACTAGCGGGACATGTAACTCATATAAACACAGTATACAGACATAGAACCCCAAGGAGGAACATATGCTCCACCTTGTGAACCAAGTTCTTAAAAAAAAATGCTGAGCAGTATTTAAACATTAGAGATTGTCCAGACACAGTAGAGATGCATTGTACACATGAACAAGTGCCTAGTGTTATGACATAGTAAGGATCAGGAGAAGTGGGTTCTATATATGGAAACTTTACAGGTGAGACAAGCAGTAGCGACAGCTTAAAGGCAATATTTTTTCTTCTAGCAAAGGAGCTTGGCTTTTTATATCATAAATGAATAGGAGTCGGTAAAGAGTTGTAAGCAGAGGTAAATATCATGACCTGTGCTTGGGTCCTAGAGCCCTCAACAGGGGAAGAGAAGGAATTAAGAAAGTACAGACATACAACGATGCTGGGATTACCTGGGTTCTGCTATCACCACAACCTAGAACCTCAGCGTTTACTAGACACAGTACAGAGGGACTGCTCCACCTGTCTGTCGGAAGTCTCTGTAGACAAGCAGCCTCAAGATGTGAGTGTGGGAGGAGAAAGCTGCAGCTGCTAGTGTTTGCACACACTGATCACTGTCTCATAAACAAGCACTTCAACTCCTGAACGAGCTTTGCCACCCCTTTCAGCCTGACCCTTATGTGGAAACTACCTTATGATGTCCCGTGGGTCTGAGACCTTGGAGTCCTCAACATGGCCATGGCCATGCCAACAATGCACATTCACCCAGAACTTCCTATGCTTCCTACAGGTACACCCACCAGGATCACACCCAAAGCGAGTACTTTGGAAATTGCTCTCTGGCACTGGGTTAAAGGAAACACCTGGGCAGAGAAGTCAGTTAGTTGACTTTATAATAGATGAGCACTATCAAAGACGGTGGGGAAGAAAATGCGGAGTGGTTGGTACGCCAGAGAGGATTGGAGTCAGACAATGTGGTAGATGTCAAACGGTCGGCATGCCAGAAAGGGTTGGAGTCAGACCATGTGTCAGACGTCAAACGGGCAGAACTTGCCTGGTATCTGATTGGGAGTGAGGAGAGTCTAGAAAGTCAGAGTCCTGGTCTGCGCTGTAAGATTGGCTGGCTGGAGAGCCGTTGGCTGGCACAGGTGGCAGCGAAGCAGAGAGGAACTAAGAGCTGTTCTGAGGAACCGATTGATGAATCCTAGTCACTTCAACTGAGTGAATCATTTTAGGTTCGCTCATTTTCTTCTTTCACCTTTTTCATTCTGTTTCCTTCCAAACAACAGTTTAGGTGCTCACTATATAAGGTATAAGACATTCTTCCTCTCCTTCCTTCACAGTGGGCTGACCTGTGATGAATACCCGGGCAAGTGTACAATAGTGTGGAGCAAAACAAAATTCTGGAAGCAGTGATGACATGCTCTGCACTTACAAAAGGTGGCCTCGAAATAATTTAGAACTGAGTCTCAAAAGACAAGCAAGTAGCCAGAGTTACAAAAATTTTTATCTGTTTCTGTGGGAACACAGTGATAGCTGAGCGATGGGGATCCATCGCAAGGTCATCGTTGGCAACTCTTATGTCTACCTTCAATAGCAGTTATACCAACCTGCAGTCAGAGAAAAATGGACCCTTTGGTCTGCCAGTCGACTTAGAGGGCCTCTCAGGGCCTATCCTGGGTAAGCGACTGTCGTTGCTATGAGAACAGAAAAGCCGGAGCGGGGGAGGTGGGCACATAACTCATTAACCTTACTTTTCTTTGTTCTCATGGTAATCATCTGCTAAAACTGTTCTGATTCTCATTGTGATCAAAAGTCAGTGTTCCTTGCTATGAGGCCACAGAATCTGAGGCCCGTATAAAGGGCTGTGCAGCAGAGCAGGAAATGTGGACCATTTGAACTGTCTGTTTCCCCACAGATTTACCCTGCTCCTCTACTGCTTTCCACCCAAATAATATCTTTCAGTAGCATATGCTACTGACATGCAGAGTGAAGTGGGGCCCTATTCATACAAGAAACAAAGATTAATTCACAGACGATCACAGACCTAAATGTAAGAGGGACAACTATAAACCTCTTGAAAGAATCATAGGTATAAACTTTTGTGCTCTTGGGTTAAGAAGCATACTAAAAATAATGGGTGTGATTGGCCTCACAAAAATTAAAATATTCAGTATTGAAAGGCTGAAATACTGTGCTAAAAGCTGGTCAAAATAAAATGAGAGATCATCCAACTTAATGGAGTAAAGTATTTTAAAAATATGTATCTTGGGGCTGGAGAGATGGCTCAGAGGTTAAGAGCATTGCCTGCTCTTCCAAAGGTCCTGAGTTCAATTCCCAGCAACCACATGGTGGCTCACAACCATCTGTAATGGGGTCTGGTGCCCTCTTCTGGCCTGCAGGCATACACACAGACAGAATATTGTATACATAATAAATAAATAAATAAATAAATATAAAAAAATTTTAAAAAAATATGTATCTTAAGATAGGGACTTGAAAACCCTTCAAGTAAAAAAAAAGCATTACAGTTTAAAATGAACAGATTTTGGGGCTGAGATTGCACAGAGGAGAAACCACTTTTTGCACAATTATGAGTCTCCAGAGCTCACATGACACTGTATGAAGTAGCACACGTCTGTAATCCTGGTGCTCCTCCAGCACTAGGAGATGGCAGCCAGCCAACACAGGAGAATCTGTGCGTGTCTGGGTCAGCTAGCTTAATGTGTGCAGCTTAATGTGTGCAACATCAATGAGACGCTCCAAACAAGGCGGAAGTGAGGGCATATACCTGAACTTGTTCTCGTTCACCTCTCTCTCTCTCTCTCTCTCTCTCTCTCTCTCTCACACACACACACACACACACACACACACACGAACACAGTTTAAATACATATTTTTCAAATATTTATACAAATGAACAAGTACATGAGAAAGCACTCAACAAATTGATCATTAAGGAAATCAAATCAAGGCCAATCAAAATTATCATGTTTGTACCTCAAAAACATGTTACTATATAAAGGAAACAAGGCACAAAACATCCCATATTTTATGGTTCTATTTATATGCAGTGTCTCCTAATCAGCAAATAAGCGAAGATAACTTGATGGTAGTTTGCAGCTAGGAGTGAAGAAGTAATGAGTGATTGCTAAGTGTTCTGTCTGTGGTGGTGGTGATGTTCTGAATTTAGAATGTGAACATGTCAGTAAGGTGTTAAAACAATAATTCCTTAACTGGTGAGGTGACACTCCTAAAAAAGATGATATGCACAGATACACCCTCGGGACACTTGGATTAATTTCTTACGAGGGCATGCAAGGTAAGATGAGGTGGGAATAGAAGTAATAAGGCCAGTTTGAAGACGTGAGACATATAAACTGGACTGTAGATTTTAAGAAATTTCTGTCCACTTAACATTTATTGGAGTGATACACATGAGCGTTTATCAGAGCAGAATGCACAGCAAGTCCCAGAGTCTCCTCAGGCTCCAGCAGGTCACACGGGGAAGGGGAAGGGGGGCAACCTGGGCAGGAGATCCATCATGTTTGGGAGACTAGCATTTTGTCCTGCACTGTTCTGGTCCTGTGAGGATGTTGGCAGAGGTTTCTGTCCCACCAAGTCCCACAGCCATTTAGTCTCAAACACATAGAGGTCTCCATTTTCTATAAACTGATTGGCCTATTAGCTCAGGCTTCATATGAACTCTTATAACTTATATTAGTTCATTATTCTTGTCTATGTTGGCCATGTGACTTGTTACCTTTTTCGGTGAGGCAGTCACATCTTGTTTACTCTGCACCTGGGTCAGAACTGCAGACTGAAACTTCCCTCTTCCCAGAATTCTTGTTGCCCCGCCTCTACTTCCTGCCTAACTACTGGCCAATCAGTGTTTTATTAAAAATAATACAAATGACAGGATAAAAGACCATCATCCCCACAGCATGAAGAGTTCTGTTTCTTTATTAGACCAAATGCCAGTTTCAGATAGGTATCAAACTGGAAAGCCTGCTTCAGTTTGCAGTAGAACCCGAGGGGAGAAGGACCTGTCCAGGTGTGGGCCTTGTGTGAGTGGCCAGCAGTTGAGGCCACTAAACAGCTCAATAATAATCTTTGTCAGCTACATGCGGAGAGGTGACAAGTAAAGACTGTGCTGCTCTGGCACTTTGATTAATGTTTAATTAGAGAGTCCAGTAAGTTTCTTACCTTTTTTTTTTTTTTATAGCTGACATCACCTTGGATATATCAAAGCCTTTGAAAGCTAACTTGAGTTTCACCAAACTGGATCAGTTAAATCATTTTTTAAAGAAGATTAAAAAGGTACACAGCTTTGAACATAGCAAAGAGACCTCAGCCCCATCGGACACTATCCTGAATAAGGATGAGCCTCCCATCTCCAGATGGTACTGCGGAAAGTCGTCTCAGCCCAGAGTTCGCTGTGATGGAGTGCAGACTTCTTTTCAAGAAAACATGTGGAGAGCCACTTCCTGCTTTCAAAAAGTTTCTGTCCGCACTACCCAGATCGTGGTCTCCATGGAGACTGTCCCACATCCTCACACACCGTGTGTGTTAGCATCACTGTCAACCCTCAATGGAAGCCTTAGTGTCAGAGCAGCACAGAGAGTACCAGGTGAGTGACAGCAGCAGGAGGGTGGGGTGCAGGGAGGAGGGGAGCAGATGGGAGGGCAGCATTTCATAGATCTGTGCTGTGTGGAAATAAGTTCCAGAGTCACTAGAAATTCGGACATTTCTAGCTTATGGCCTCATTGCAGAGATTCTGATTCAGTGTAGTTTTGTTGAGGTTGTGGTGTCCTGTGAGCCCACCTCCTGAGGCTCTCTTGCATGGCCCCACCCACCTCCTGAGGCAAGCTCTTGCCATCAGGACTCTGTAACTTCCTTGGAGCTGAGATGCTGTGACAGCATTTCGGCTTTTTTGAAACATTAGAACAGTACTTTTCACAGTGCAGTGTGTGACACACGGTCTGTGGCACATCAGATCACCTGAGACCGTGCTGGGGATGTATGCTAGACCCCACCAGGCTACTGAATCAGACTCTGGGCACAGAGCCCAACAACTGTATTGTAAGCCTTGCAGGTGACTCTAATGCAGTGCATTGCATCACTGGGAATGATTTATTCTAACAGGAGAAGTTGCCATGGTGACAGTTATGCTCCACAGAGTGAGTGTCAAGTCTTCAAGAATGCCACTGAGGCGTTTTGTCAAGCAGCAGCCTCTGTGTACAGCCCACCAGAGGCCTGCTGCAGACTGGCAGGACAAGAAGCTAACTGGCCATGACATCGCCAGTTTTCTCTTTTGCTACTATGGCTAAGTTGTTATGTGCTTTTCCAGTCTGAATCAGAAAAGGTGGGCACAAGGTATGTGAAGGGAAAAGTCAACACAGGCAGGAAATAACCATTGCAGTCACAGACATTGCTACTGGGAAAACTGAGAGCCGCACGGCACACGTGTCCTCTAAAGCAGACCTCAGGCCTGCCTGTGTGGAGGGGGACTGTGCACTGACGTGTTAGATATGTCGGTCCTTAAGCTAAGTGCATCTTAGCTGCACACCAAAACATAGTTAAGTGGCAGCTAGAGACTAATTGTGATTTAGTTTTAGAGAGCCAGTTTGAACACAGTAGTTTTAAGAGGATTTTTTGTTGTTGTTTCAACTTTTATAGTTGAGTGGTAATAAATTTAAGTCAAAACATAGATGATCTTTTTCCTCACTGAAGTTTTTGTAACCAGCCCAGCTAAAAGCTCTTATTTTCTCTGTTGTCTTTAAAGTTAGAAATGCAAAGTGCAGGGTTTCGGGGCATGAAAGATTCTCCAACCCCGAATACTACAGTGTCAAGTCCGCTGTGCCCATGCCTTTCTCGACACTGCCCCTCAGGCATGGCAGGGAAGGCCAGGACCCAAACAGAGGAGGGATTTTAAACTCTTCGTGCTGAGCTGTGTGCAGGTCTTGTGCCTGTCTTGTCCTCACTCCCTCTAAATTCATTTGCTGGCTTTATTTTATTCACTTTTAAAGATATTTGTACTTCATAATTGTTTTCTCTACAATACAATTGAAAACTTTTCATTTAGCCATACAAATGGCTAAATGAAAATTTATGAATGAATTATTTTTGTGATTTCCCCTTTTATATTAGAGAAATTATATACTCTCTTCTTTTATAGTTATGTTCTTCTTATCTTGTTAAACACAAAAATAGAAACGTGGGCTTTGACTTAAACATACTTGTTATTACTCTGCTGGGCAGTGTCCAGCAAACACTTTAAAGTTTTTTTGTGTCACATTAAATCAAAATTGAAGTTAGTCATTTAGTTGAAGAAATTTACTATGGTGAAACAATAACCAAGTTTAGTCAGCAAAATCCATTGTGTGTAAGTTAGCTACGCCTGGAGCGGGCTCTAGTTGTTGCTGAAGGCTGGCATGGGGGCCTTGTAATAGAGATCTCTGCACAGCTCCTTTGGTTTGGGTTGTTTTTAGTAGTGGGGGAGAGGCTCCCTTTCTGCAGCCCAGGCTGCCCTTGAACTCACCTTGAAACAAGGCTAGCCCTGAAGTTGGCCATCACACCAAGATCACCACACAATTTAAAAATACATATATAGTTGTAACTATTTAAAAAAATAAATTAAGCATTTAACATTGATTTCATTATGTAGTCAGATGTCATCAAATCCGTATTTTTCAGTTTATTTGAAATGCTTACAAATATGTGTACTTTGTGTAGTTGGGAATTTTTTGATTTGTTTTTGTTTTGGTGGGTTGAGGAGTTATTTTGTTGTTGCTGTTGTTGGGTTTAACTTGTTTTATTCTGAGACAGAATCATGCTCTGTAGTCCTAGCTATGTAATGTAGCATGTAAACTAGGCTGGCCTCACACTTGGAGATCTCTCTGACTCTGCCTTCCAGGTACTGGGCTTAAAGATGTACACCATACCTGGCAATTAGGTATAGTTTTGGTAAGTGGTAAAAATGAAAAAGTCTCAGTCTCTCTCTCTCTCTCTCTCTCTCTCTCTCTCTCTCTCTCTCTCTCTCCCTATCAGTAGTCATATTTCTTTTTGTAGTTTTCAAGTGGTGTTGTTCTGTATTTGACCAAATTTTTATGGTGTATCTTTGAGCTCAACGGAATTAATGTCAGATTTTTTATAGGTTGACTCTAATGCAGAAATACTTAGCTGAGTCTTTGATTTTACAGTTTGTGTAACTGTTGTGTGCATCTGCAGCAGCTGCACCTCTCAAACTATTTGCTGAGCCAAATTGAGCACAGTGACAAAGTAGTCATCTCAGACGCGCCACTAAACAGAGAGGAATGGCGCTGCTCGTGGCACAGCATCTGCTGCGCACATGGTGTCACGTACAGGAGGGCTCGATAAAATAATTGTCGAAAATTTCTTCATTAAAACCTCAACAGTTCGCACTTGTTTATCCAAATCTGCATAGCTCCCCTATGAGACAACACACTTGGGGTTTCTTCGGTTCTCGCTCACTTTCTCTTTGATCCTGTTTGATGTGCTGACTTTAATAAACACACTCAAAACCACTGTGCAGGCACATCGTGGAAAAAACTACAAAGGAGCAGCTCCAGCGGCGGAGCTCTGCTAATCCCTAACTCACGCAGGTTATTTTTAGAGAAGTATTTTTTTAACACTCTTTATGTGACAACGTTATATAAACAGAGAAAAGCAGTCCTTTCCAGATGAATTTTAATTTAAGAGCTGAAATAGATTTGTAATTCTAGAGGAATCCTATGTGCTAAGTAACTCTGAGAGAAGCCCCATTGGGAATGTGCTGTAGGCATGTTCTCCTAATCGCCGAGAGGACAGAAAAAGTGAGTTTGCCTAATGATTATTTTTTTTATCATCTAAACTGTTAGAAGCTTATGGAAAGTATGTGGGGAAAGGGGACAATAAAGACATGAAACAAGAAAACTCACATTTTCCCCCAAACATCGTCAGTACATTTGTACAATCTGAAGACTTTCCTATTCGTTTACTCATTTTAAAAATGAATAGTTACAAATTATTTACTGAGCTTGTTAAAAGAATTTCCATATTCATTTTGCAGAACAAAGTAAAGCGGTTAAATATTTTCTGCCTAAAGGAAATAAATTAGCCATCCAGCCCTCCTCAGACCCCTGTACCTTGTGAACTCTGAGCATATCAAGGTTCTGAGTCTTGCTGTCACCCCGTTCTGCAAGCCTGTGAGGCAGCGACTCAATGACTGAATCCTATCTGCTAGGATGCTTAGTTCTCTTAGTGAAACAGCCCTGTGGTTCGACTACAGATGCGATGCTTGTGTTCTTGTCACTTGGTACCAAGTAGTACAGGAAATCTTACCAATGCTTTAACAGAAACAAGGCAAACCTGAGGTAGAAATTGTATCTTATATTCTGAAATATTTTAAAGCCAGTATTTCTCAGTTGTCTGTTGAATCTATTCCACTGTAGAATATGTTCTTTAAAAGCTGCAGCTTACCCCACATGGGCACACAGTGCAGTCCCCTTTGCTGTGCAAAGCATGTCATTTTGGAGACACGCAAACTATGTAGTTATAAATTCTGAACTGGCAGCAAGTCTCTTTCCACGGGAGGGTGGGGTTTGATCTCATGCTGCAGCTCCCTGTCATCGTAATTTATGGCTCTAGTAAGATGGCACGCCTTAGAGTTCTGCAAACAGGAGTACACAGTTGAGAGCTGGGAAATCCCTGTACTTTGAGGTTGCCATGCTCTTTCTTGTGGACGATTAGCAACCTCCAAATAGACAAAGCACAAAGAAACACAGCATGAACAGCTTGTTGACAAAGGGGAAGAACCTGGGTGAAGCCATTGGTTGGCATTTAGAATAGGAAACCATTGACAAGACTCTCTGACCATGGAGATATTGAGGATTTTTCTCCCACGCAGAACACAGTGAGTTGAGCTCATTGTCAAAGGAACAGTGGTTTAAATTACTTTGCCTACCCTTGCTGTACTTAACTTTGTATATAAACAGAACAAGAGAGGGAAAGGAAGCATAGCCAGTCTTTTCCATGAGACTAGAATGCCTCCCCTCATTCTCAACACATTCAGGAACAGCAACACCTAGCACACCCTCTCACACACCAGAAGTGAAACCAGGTCTTTACCTGAAGCAAAGCCTTGGCTCCACTGTTTATGCTGTGCTTATCCTGAAGGAGATCTCCAAGGCATCCTCGTAGCCTTTGGATGCCAGTTAGCCCCGTGGGAAATAAAGCATTAAATTAGATATAACTGCCTAAAATCCCATGTTCAGTAGTTAGCCATTGACAGCACCCAAAGACCCTTACTGCTTTCAAAAAGAAATACATCTCTTTCCAGGGTCTGAAGGATAGGAAATAAATTTCTTGACTGTAAAAGACAGAAGACAAACTTAACTTTTCAGGATCCAGTGAAGATGGAAGCATAGATACAGCTGGTTGACAGCTAGACAGACCACAGCAGTCCTCAGTGAGGACTGGGTGTGGGCGTCAGGATCCTGTCTTTCCTGATACTCTGTCCCAAGTAGCTTAAACCCTACACTCAAGGAAAAGTGGAATGCTCACTGGCCTGCAACATCTGGGGTTTTATTTGTCATTTTGGCATACCTGGCAAGCACAAAAGAAAGAGTA